AGTAAACATCTACAACTTTTATAAAAAACACTTTTTACAATAACCTCAAAATTTTCGTAATATTTCTAAAAAAACACTTTTTTAATTTTTTCTTGGTTTTTCATTTTCAATTTCTACAATCATATTTTTGGTTTTCATGAAACTAGGGGTACATAATCTTCGAAATACATATAATAAGAAAACTTTTTATTAAAATTGAATGTTTAGCCATTTAAGAGAAATTTATGTTTTATAGTCTCGGGAGGCTGAAAATCATCCCCAAATTCAAGTGGATATTTACATTTAAAAAAAATTTCATTCAATTTTCAAATAGGGCTCACGTTTTTCGTCTTGCACTCAACTTTTTTGATGAAACAAAAAGATTTTACAATTTTTTTGTCGTCCTGTAAAAACCCCCTAAAAAATTGAAAAAATTGGAGAAATCGATAATTTTTACTTTATCTACTACATTTGTTTAATAATAATTGAAAAAGTGTAGTAAAATAAACTTTGGTCCAGCTGAAATTCGAAAAATTTTCCTTTACTGAATTTAATTATACCTAACAGAGATACCCCCCTGCACTACCCCCTCTGCTTACCACCAAATTTAACTAGAGCCGCGCTAGACTGTCCATGCCTCAAAAACCACTGTTTTCATAAGACAAAAGTCATTTTGCGCTCAACTTCTCATAACAAGCACTATATACACTAGCATAGAAGCAAATATAAGGTTTTTGCAACTCACCCGTACTTAGCGAAGTTTGTCCAAAGCGTAGTTATTTGATCAATAATTCGTTGATCAGCTTCAGATGGTTGCTCCTTGTAAAAAGATAAATCAAACAAATACCCAATTTCATCAGCATGAGCCGCACCTCCTACTGTCACATTATCCCTGTTCTTAACATAATTTCTCTTCCCACAGTATGCAAATAAGTACTGATACACATCTTGAGCTCCATTCTCAAGGTACTTTTCTATGCTCTTTTGTACGGGGAAGTTGTAATTGTAATCTGAGCTGAAATCTATTATCCTCCAACGTACAGCGTCGGTTATATCTTCGTCTCCAATGTAGAAATGACGCATCAAATCTTCCATTTCTTGGAAGTCTTCGTCGTAGTTAAATACCGCGTCCAACTCGCTAAATATTTTCAGATTCTTGAAATAATCGGCATTTTTATTTGCAAATTGAGCTAAATGTTCGTGATTATTAAAACCTGATAAGATAGGTATATCTTTAACTTTAGGGTAATCCATGTTAATTGGATGGTCCGAAAGTATGCTTTCGACGTCTTCGAACTCTTCCTCAACGCAAACGTTAAAAGTTAAAGCCAGCTCTTCTGAGGCTGCGATAACTAACTTAACGTCAGTATTTTTTAAGAAAGCTAATGCCTGAGATAAATCGTCGGTTTTGAAGCCTAAACGTTTAGCGATTTTCAAAGGCTTAGAAGTATCCGCATCTCCAATAACCCATGGGCCCAAAACGCTACCACTTTGCATTATAGCTTGATTGAATAATTTTTCCTGTTTGGAAATTAAATGGAATTCTACGGATTTGGCGCCCGCGCTCTCACCCATAATAGTTATCTTGTTAGCGTCTCCACCAAACGCTACAATATTATTCTTAATCCATCGCAAACCTAGCAACTGATCTTTCAAACCCTGGTTTCCAGGCACATCTGGTGTGTTGAGACACATAAAACCATAAGGTCCCAATCTGTAGTTTAGGGTGACAAGTATGACGTCATGTCTAATCAAAAAATTGGGACCATACAGATATCTATTTCCAAATCCATTCATAAATCTACCTCCATGAATCCAGACCAAAACGGGCAGTTTGTTCTTTGAGCTGGCTTTATTTGGAACAAATACGTTCAAATTTAAGCAATCCAATGTTCCTACAATAGTATTATTGAATTGTTCCTTTTGTGGACAAACGGATGAATCGTCGTAGGCTTCAAAAATGCTGTCAAATTTAGGATGAGGAGATGATGCCTAAAATAAAAATATGAACATATATTTTAAAGTTATAGCTGTAGTAGCAAGGTGTTTTCTATATTAGCAAAACACAGTAATCCAAAGTAGTGATGATAGAGGTAAAGGGTTTGATTCTAGATGAAGCATATACATAAATAGATTAACACGAATATTCGCGTTAATATGATATGGCTATATCCTAAATGCGGAAAATATGTTAAGAATTATTATAAAATTATTACTATTAGTTCGTCCTAATAGAAAAATAATATCACTACATAGTATAAAACCCTATGTATGCTTAAATCTTTAAAACTACGCAACGGATTTTGATGCGGTTTTTTTAATAGATAGAGTGATTTAATAGAAAGGTTTTAGTATATAATTTGTTAAGTTTTTGTATACATTGGCTAAAATATAACGATATTGGTTAGAGGTGTTGGAAAAAATAAGACGTCTGGGAGCTTTCAACGAAAACGCTGCCTAAACCCTTTGAGATATAACAAAATAATGTATGGTGGAATTGTGTATCTTATATAGGTCTACAGAAAAGTCCGCGATGGCATACGTCTATCTCTTAAGGATAACATACTATATCCATTTTAAACCAATAATAACAGCTAGCTGCCATAATGACCCCTGTATCTGGCCCGTAGCTAAATAGTTTAAATTTATTCTATAGTGTAGAGTCTAACTACTCATTGGCAAAAAAAGTAAAGCATTTAATCCTGCGCGTTCTTCTCGTTGTGTCAAAATTTCTATCCACTGATTATGCATAATAATAATACTAAATCCACTACTAATACAACATCTATACATATAATAAAATTCTAACCGAGTCAAATCTGTACATTAAATATTTTTTGGAAAATCTTATTGAAATATACATCATTATCGATACAGAGGCTGAGTCTGTCTGTCTGCCTGTCTGTCTATCTGTTTGTTACCGCATCACAGAAAAACCACTGAAGAGATTTTGATGAAATTTAGTATGATGATAGCTGGTTATCCGGGTCAACATATAGGATACTTTTTACCGCGGGAAAATATCTCATTTCTGAGAAAAAATACAAAGACTGCATTGTAAGAGTATACTAATATGTAAAACATAAAAATTTGGTTTTTGGTCATCTAAACGCGTGCGTAGCCGCGGTCAATGCTAGTTGTTTCATAAATCAATGCAATTTACTTCTCATTATAAAACTATGACATTTTGTCTTTACTATATTAAATCATTTATCGTAATCGTAAAAAAATAAACTTACCCCAAAAGGATTGTTCTCATCAACTTTGGCGTAGGGTATTCCAAGGAACATGGAATAGTCTCCTTCATCAGCCCTCAGTCCTCTGATCAGACCTTGCGGAGTATCCACCAGAGGGTCTAACCTTGTCCTGCCCTGGACTAATCCGAGCGTTAAAAGTAAGAGACAACTGATCCCCCACATCTCTCTTCCACCAGATCAAACAACACTCTAACCACCCATGAACACTGACGAAATTGATTTCGTTCATTATCGGATAAAAACGAAATCTCTGAAGATAATATCGATATTGGTTAATTCATGTGTTTAGTAAATATCTCACCTCCTGTTTATTAAGCTCAATCTCCTGATTGATGTGTCATTAAATTATTATTAGTTACTTATAACATAAAGCCAAAGAGTTGATTTTTTTAGTAGGATAAACGCGGGCGAAGCCGCGAGTTCTACTAGTACCTAATAAATGACTTAACAAGTTATGTAATATTATTATTAGTCATGTAATTATAAGTATTTTTAATATTTTTGTTATGACGACACGTTTGACTCAGTTTGTAGTGACCCTACTTGCTGTGCCAGCGGTCGCGGGTTCGAGTCCCGTTAAAGGGCATTCATTTGTGTGATGAGCACTAATGTTTGTTCTTCAGTCATGGGTGTTAATATTTATAATATATATGGATGTATTTAAAGTTATATATGTGTAGTGTATCAACTATCTGGTATCAATAACACAGGCCTCGTAGCTTACCATGGAACTAGATGGTGCTGTGTGTTAATGTACCAACATATTATTTCTTATTTACATGACATTCCTAAAAAAACCTTAAAAGTAAAAATGAAACATGACCTTCAAATAAACCTCGTTGGCAACATTTTAAAGCATCATCAAAATATAATGATGTCGGCAAAATTTAACTTATGAACAATTCGTAATCTCTTATCGATTGGCTTGAGATGTGTTATCAATAAGTGGTTAATTCCAGGGCAAGCAAAGTTATGTACACTTTGTTGTTTAAGATTATGAAAAACCCAAATATTATCTATACTTATATTATAAAGAGAAAAGATCTTATTTGTTTGTTTGTACCGAATAAGCTCCGAAACTACTGAACCGATTTAGACGAAATTTGCTAAGAAGACAGTTTGAGACCCTGGGATAGTTTTTATCTCGGAAATCATCCCTTAAGAGAGTGAAAATGGGGATGAAAGTTTGTATGGCGAAGGGACATAGGGACGGACCCGAGCGAAGCGAGGGTGAGTCTCTAGTAGATTCTAAAGATGAATGCTTGAAGAATACGTGTTCATGTATTAAGTAGTGTAAAGGAATGAATATATGAAAACTGCACCAGCGTCTAATTAAGAGTTCTTAGCTTGTATTTACTGTTCTTTATTTTAAATAAATTTATTTTTGCGGATTTTTTCGCAGATCATGGTCGCACGAGAGACTAAGGTTTTCGTTTCGTCTAACACCTCAGTCTCTCCCGTGACTATGATTGCTGTGAAGTATTCGAAACGTCGGGAACCAAAAATCAAAATAAAGCGAAAAAATCCGAAAAGATAGTTTTATTTAAAATGTCAAGTATTCGCGTAACTCTAAGAAAGTATTATGTATAATAATAATTTGAACAATAAATATGTATGATTTTAACACATAAAAGTGTTTAATATTTAATTGTTTCCACCAAAATAAACAATACGTTTGAGTGTTGCCAGTTTTATTACTTCTATCTGAATGGACTTTTTATTATTTTTATACTTTAATAAAAAAAGTTGATATCAAATATTCAAATGTTATATTGCTTATTTCTGTTATTTTCATTGGGAATAGTTCTTTCAATCACAAATTATGAAGGTAAAAATAATACTGTTATAGATTTATATGAATATTTGGCATTTTATAAATCAATTTTTTGGTTTTTTGCAGTACATTTTTCTTAAAATAATTTAATACTAAGACTACTTTTTATCCAAATTCGTTCAGCCATTTGAGGGTGATGAAATAAACGTACACATACATATAATTATTTACCACATAAAATTATAGGACTGTGATAAACAATATTTTAAAATATTATAAAGAAGTAACAGATAATACTTTCTTAGATTTACGTGAATATTTGACATTTTAAATAAAACTTTTGTTCGGATTTTGCTTGCTGTAAAGCATTCGTCGGAAACCAAAAATGGAAATAAATTCACAAAAATTTGGAATAAATAGTTTTATTTAACAGATAATTAATTAAAACTTAAATTACAGAAACAAAATATAAAACCAGTATTTATAAAACGTCACTGAAAACACCGTACAACTTACAACTTACTTACAAGAAAGCTTTAAGAACTATTGAAAATGTAAAAAGGAATAACGATTACAACTATCCAGATTGGGAAGAGGCAACTCCAGATCAATACGACTTTTTATTTACAACAAAACCCAATTCATCACCAGAAACATCTCTGATAATAACTAATAGCGAAACGTCTTCTTCATCTATACCTTCTTCTCTATCTCCTTCTACTTCCAATGAAACTACCTCTTCAACTGTAGTAGAAAATACACGTACCTTTATTACTCCTAGTATAAGAACTACATATACTACTGTAGCCATAAATGCATCTTCTACTGTATTGAATTCTACAACTGTAACATCTACTTCTACAATCAAGACAGAGTTGACTGATTTTCCAGAAGTGACTACAGAAGATATTTTTAAGAGCACCACAACGAGTGTAGCTGGTAAGTAATTTTGATTGAATGGCTGTGTTATGAAAACTTTACACCTAGACGTTTTCCTGCCCGAATATGGTTTTTACAAAAATCCTAGAACCCAACTGCAGCGCCGCCTACCGGGTCCAGTTGTAAATCTAAATCATCCAGGGATCCACTCAATCACACACAATTTTTTGTATAAAAATCGATCTATCCATTTAGGAGGAGCTCAGTGACACACACATACAGACGAATTATATAAAGATATGGCGATAAATATCGACCGTTAGTATTTAAATAAATATAAAATCCAATCCGCAATAAATCCCGCTAGATAAATATTTCTTCTCGTTTTTTCTCTCATATTTATTACATAATACTTGTACGTAATTCAGAATTTATTAACTTTGCAATAAAAATGTAATGGCATAACAGTTCTTGCCGAAGGAAAGCGTAAGAATATTTTTAAAGTTCAGAACTAATAAAAGGCCAAAATCTTACATCGATTCGGAGTATGATTGTTTGTTATCTGCCTCAGCAATTACTCAATAGGTAGTTGCTATAGCCTAAGGAGGATAAACGAAGATGACTTCATATATGCTGATTATACCGTTCCAGACTTCAACCATATTTTTCTTTTTGTGCTCTTATTGCGTTCCAAAAATTCTAAAATATTTTTTTTTTGCAGTAACAATATCAACTCACAATCCCATCGTTGATGATATACGAAATACAAAACGGGAAGGATTTTTTACAGCCAGTTTGTTGGTGCTGTTGAGAACCGCATATGCCAAAGACCCTAATGATCTTGCACCATTAATATTTACTTTACATACTGAAGTTGTAAGGTATTTAGCAATTTAGTTTTCAGTTTAACTTTGAACGGTCAGTTTTGGGTCAGTATTTTCCAACTCAAATAGCACAATATATTTAAAATTACCAAAATTAATTATAAAATGATTTTGGATAGGGTATATGGTATATGCTAGAACCATCCCCAGGAATAAAAAAATCGCCACAAAAGATCATAAATAAAAACTTTTTCAGTTTCAAGGCAATGTGACAATTAGAAGTTAAATTTTCATTAGCTATTTTTCCACCCTTAGGAGTGGTATTTTTTTCAAATTAATAACGAAGTTTTGAGGTAACAAATATAAAAAAAACATACAGCCGAATTGAGTCCTTTTTGAAGAAGTCGGTTGAAAACAGTTCTGAATAAGCGAACGTATGACATTACATACAGATAAAAACAAAAGACACAGCCAAATTATGTACGTCCTACTGTTATGAACTGGTCTAAGATTGAACGTTCAAAGCTACAAGCTGAACGCTTTCTTTATTAAGTAACTGATTGTTTACACTTTGTGCACGTATACCTAGATTAAAATTATTTTTTTATTTTGTCTTATTGTCTAGAAATATAAATATAGTTAAAGATCTTTGCAGAATGAACGCAAATCATGAACTTAACATGTTCGGGCCTGTGGTGGTGGAGCTGTTCACGTCCATGGTGAGAGTTGCTGCCACAACGAATTTGGAACTTGTACGAAGTTAGTAATACATATTACTATATATTTTTATATTTACACTCGTGTCGTGTAGACAAAATAAAAAAGCTACTTTTATTTTCTTTCAATGTAATCAGACAGCGCCATCTGTTGATAAGTTCGAAACTAAAATATTATTTTCTAAACGTGACTTTTTCTCCTGCGTCGGACTCAAGGAGTTTTTAGGGCTTTTTCTTTGCTTAGTATGAGCTCCTACACCCACTTCCACGTTGTAGAGAACAAATGAAGCAGTCCTACACTAGGTCTTTTTCAGTCATGTTAGATTGTCATCTAATCCTACTACGACACAACAATTTTCTTGTTATTCTTTTTTCTGTTTTTATTATTCTAGTTGTTCTTTTTTTTTTGTTTATTTGTCCGTAAACAGCTTTTTATAAATATATCGAGATAGTCCTGTCGTAGATAGTTTTATTTAAAATGCCAAATATTCTAGTAGTATCTAGTATCTAGTAGTATTCTAGTAAGTCTAAAAAAATATTAATATACATGTGACTTGAAAACGATCAGATATATTATTAAAAACAACAAAAGAACTCTACATTAACAATAATAGTAATAATAAATATATTGGTACATTAACTCACAGCACCATCTACCTTTAAATACATACATATTATAAACATTGAGACGTTATGAATATCATAATATTTCAGCACAAATAGACTACACCGCTGTAGTCCTAGATGATAGAAGAAACAAAATTTTACCCGACCTCAATGCTGTTTTTGACGTGGTTGACAACATATATAATGAAGATGATCTCAAAAATATTGCTAATGCCATAAAAGATGTTAAAGATTATCCTGAGGTACAGCAAGAAGCTAAAGAAATAGTTCAAGAGTTGTTTCAAGCCTTTCTATTTATACCGCATGGGAGAATTCAAGGTACAACAAAAGAGCGACTGTTGTTGTTGGAAATCAATAATGCTATACAAAAAAGAATACCGTTTGGAAGGAGGAATCTCATGACGTGATCATCATGACGAGAACTTTGATGGTAACTCTTTACTTTATTAACTTTTTGGTTCAAGATTAAGTTGGTTTGAATTTTTTTCTAAGGAGATTCTTCATTTCCTAACCAATATACTCGTACCTACTACGACATTTAATTACTTTAACTTATAACAGACTAACAGAACCCGCGGCTTCGCTCGCGCTAAAACTACAGAAAAACTTCTAAGGTGGGTTTCTGAAGGTAGGTTTTATACAAAATTTCGTCCCCTATTTCACCTTCTTATAGGATGAATTTCGAAAAATGCTAAGACTCGTATTTTCATCCCCCTTTTTACACCTTTAAGGGATAAAAACTATCCTATATCCTTTCCAGGAGCTCCAACTATCTTCATAGCAAATTTCATCTTAATTGGCTTAGTAGTTCCAGAGATCACTTTCTACAAACAAACTCACAAACCTAAAAACTTTACTTCTTTATAATATTAGTGTAGATAACAATTATAATAAATAAATTGATAAGTTCTATTTTTAGAAGAATCAAATAGAAGACGTAATCAAATACGAAAAACAAAACAACCAATTTTGAGTACAAGTCCAGTTGACTTCATGGAAGACTGGAACTACGTTAAAAATGCGACTATAATGGAAGATGTAAAGCATCGGATGAAGAAATATAAGAAGAAATTCAAACACATAAAGAAGAATGAGAAGGAGAAGTTTAGAGGACCGACAACTACTACAACTACGACTACCACAACTATAAGACCAAAAATGCACAAAAGCAATTACTACATAAGGAAATACGTGAGGAAAAACCTGTACAAGATGAAGACAACCACTAAAAAGACAACCAGATTCAGATACAGATACTATGGGAAAATCAGAAAGTTCAATATTGCATATTCCAAAAGTAATGATGTATATTCTAAAAGTGAGAGTGAAGGATATTATTCTGATGATAATATTGGAAGTGATGAATCTCCTATTTCTTTAGAAGATAATGAAGATAAGGCTAAAGAAACAACGCCATTGTTTATATTTAACAATAAGTATGAAGGACCACTAACCGTTAAGGCAATAACAGAAGATTCTAAAAACGAAGGAATCGTAAAAAATTTGGATGTTAGTGACAGTGACCCAGAATTAAAATTCAAACTAAATCTAAAAGATGCACTGATACACAGTGACTTCAAAATTACTAATCACAGAAGGTTTTTAGAGCAAAAAGCTAATAAAATAAAGCATAATACCTTCAGTGATGATGAGGTTGTGTTAAAAAGAGGTATATATAAGGTGTTTGGATATAAAGATAATTTTGCTGAAATGATTAAGCAGAAAAAAAATAGGCAATTTTATAAAGATAGCTAAAGAATACAACCACAGATTACATTATCATGGTGACATGGGGTCTCATCACAAACAAAGAAAAATCAGATATACTAAATGTCAACAGATGGCATTATATGGATCGATTTGTTATTGAAGATGTGTAAAATTACCAAAACATATGAAACAGATCCCAAAAGAGTATATTGTAGTTCTAAAAAATCTGTAAGAGTATTGATAATTGACATATTGCTTGTGAACGGCGTTATTTTACTGATTAGTGAAAAATCAACAATTAATTAATTTGGTTTGTAGTGCACATTCACAGATGGCGCTTTTATTTTTTATGATTAGTTTATCACTGTCAAAAACTGTTAAAGTCACTGAAATTAGTTTAATTAATTGCAATATTTGTCACATTTTAGTTTACACATATTTTAAAAAATGAACTGTTTTTCAACAAAATACGGGTTAGCGACATCTATTATCTATTCAAGCACACAAAAATAGTCCGAAGAATAGCCCGAATGAGGCATCTGTACTAGTATTTATGGTAAGTATTATGTGATCTTTGATATTATACTGGTCCAGTTTTGTTTGCTTAAATAGACTATAGATGGCGTTAGCCCGCAAACTGTTAAATTAATTTATTTTCCAAATAAGTATACAGTAAATTTTATTTTGTTAAATATATCAAAACTTATCGTGCGTATGCACGAATTGAATAATCAAATAAATTTTAGCGCAATTTTAACAGTTGTTAACTGTAGTACACATATAAAGTAATTGGCGCCATCTGTTTGCACTTGGCACCCCATGAAATAATGTCATTTTAAAAAAAAAAAACAGTAAAATTACTGATTATTATGAGTAAAAATATTTGGTTTGCAAAATAGATCCCAAAAAGGTATATTATGGTTTTAAAAAATAAACTGAATTAAAAGAAATGATATAAGTATACTTTTTTTCTTATTTGTTTTTACACAAATAAATAACAAATGGACACAACGCCATCTATTGACATTTATTTAAACTATTTTTTCTCCATGCGTGATAAGACTCGCATGTTATAATTTAGCTACTTTGCCAAACGAAACTGGAATGGTCCATTTGGATCGGTGAACACACCGTAACTTCTAGAACAAAAGTAATTTAAAACATAATTTGTTAATAAAAATTAAAATATAGGTACGTATTTTATTACAGACAATAAATTTTTGTTTTAATTTATAGATGCAAATCTATATACATATATAAATAAAAATGAATGGCTAAATGTGTTACTAAGCGTAAAACTAGACCAACATGGCTATTTTGGCGGATGGGCAGTAAATTCATGTGAGTCGTCATCGACATGGTCACGTGACAATTTATAATTTTAAAACAATTTTTTTAAAACGTAATTTACAAATTTTAATTTAAGATCAAACAATTAATTTGAATATAAAAAAATAAGTTTTCAGTCAGGTAATCCTCTCGTTTTTTTATTTAAATATTCGTCAAGTCCAAGGAATGTTCTTAAGAAGAGAAAAATTAGAAAAAAATCACAGAAAAACCTAAAAATCACTCACACTTTTCTTTTTCCTTACAATTTAACACTATAATCACGGTAATGTAATATGTAATATTACCGTGCTATAATTATGAATGTAATCTGATTGAACCTGAGATTTGACACTTTCTCTTTCTATACAGTGATACATACAGATGACTTTGTTTATTTGTCCTTCTTTCACGTCGAAACGGAGTAAAGGATTGGCGTGATTTTTCGTGTAAAAAAATCAATTTGTTTTCGTGAAAATTTCCGGCGTTTTAATAGTTATTCTGCTATTCAGGAGGAAGACAAATCTAACAAAACAAAGATCATAAAAATCGGTCCAGCAGTTCTCGAGTTATAAGTGTTGTAACAAACCCGACTTTTTAGGTAAATTTCGGCCAATTATAAAAAAAACTGGCTCCCTTCCGCTACTTTATTATGTACGAGTACAGACAGCTTCAATGCTTCAATACAACTCTTTTATTGACATACACACGTACTCTAAGAAGAGTATTCAGTAAAATGACAATAACAGTGTACCTACTTGTTACTCACAAAGGCGGTGTTTAAGAGCATTCCTTCTTTTGAGCGTTGAGTAGTTTAGAAAAGACAAGTCTTTAAAAATTATAATCTGAAATAGCACATAGGCTACTTTTTATCCCGGAAAAATGTACGATCCCGTGGGATAGATTTGTTTTTGATTTTCATTAGGGACGAACCCGAGCGCAGCGAGGTAGAATTGCCACTTTATTAATAAAAATTATTAATATAACTCTCTTAGATTTACGCGAATATTCGACATTTTAAATAAAACTATCTTTTCGGATTTTTTCGCGAATTTATTTTAATTTTTGTTTCCCAACGTTTCCTATACGCTTTTGGGACGTCTAACACCTCAGTCTCTCCCGTGACCATGGTTGCTGTAAAGCATTCGAAACGTCGGGAACCAAACAATCAAAATAATTTCGCGAAAAAATCCAAAAAGATAGGTTTAAAAGAAACAAATTAACCATTTAAAGATTAGTTACTACTTTAATTTGAAGATGTAGATGCCCTGGAAATAATTTCGCTGCCTATGGCTGTATAGATAGTTGAGATTAATAAATCTATTGAGAATTACAGTTAAAAATCTTTAAAAAAAGGTAATATTATATGAGTTAATAATAATTGTTTTGTATCAAGTTTATGGTTCCGTACCCAAAGGGTAAAACGGGACCCTATTACTAAGACTCCGCTGTCCGTCCATCTGTCTGTCTGTCCGACTGTCACCAGGCCGTATCTCATGAACCGTGATAGTTAGACAGTTTAAATTTACACAGATGATATATTTTTGTTGCCGCTATAACAAAAGATACTAAAAAACAGAATAAAATAAATATTTAAGGGGGCTCCCGTACAACAAACGTGATTTTTTTGCTCGCTTTCGCTCGATATTGATAACGGCAACAGGTAGACGCTTGAAATATTCGCAGAATATTTAGTTGTATATTCGTTTTAAAAATAAATAATTAAATTAAAATAAAACAAATATTTAAGGGGGTCTCCCATACAACAAACGTGATTTTTTTTCCCGTTTTATGGATACATCTGGTACAGAACTCTTCGTGCGCGAGTCCGACTAGCACTTTTATTTGGTCACGTCCCCGATTCCACAATAGCTATCCTCAACAGACGGTTAGTTGTCCATTTCACACCCATTCAGAGCTTCCGGCGACTTTACATATTTGTTAAACTTTAATACTATAAAAAACTGGACGGACCCCTGGTACAGTGGTAGAAAATTGGAAATCAATAGCAAGACTGAGTCTGTGGATTCGATTTTTTGATTATTCATGAAACAAGTAATTTAAAAGTGTATTACTTATTTTTGTAATGATTAAGCTACCAAATGGTCCTATATTTTAAATATTTTAAATAAAACTATCTTTTCGTATTATTTCGCGGATTTCTTATGATTTTTGGTTCCCGACGTTTCGAATGCTTTACAGTAATTATGGTCACGGGAGTGACCTCTCGGGAGGAGTTAAAAATATCGAATGTCAAAATAAATCCGCGAAAAAAATATTTTTTGGAAAAATCTTATTGAAATAGTCATTATTATCGATACAGAGGCCGAATCTATAATTTTTAGATATTTTGTGTTTGTCTATCTGTCTGGAAACACATCACGAGAAAACCACTGGACAGATTTTGATGAAATTTGATATGATGATAGCTGGTTATCCGGGTCAACATATAGGATACTCTTTACTGCGGGAAAATATCTCCTCTCTGAAAGATCTATAATAAATGTGAAAACGTACCTAAGGACAAACCCAAGTGGAGCAAGGGTGAGTCGTTAGTAAATGTGTAAGCTTGTATGTGTGTCTATGTGATATGCCCGATACTCCTTAACGCCGAAACGGCTGAACGGATTTGGATGGTACACAGATAGACTATGAACTGGAGTAACATATAGGCTACATTTAGTATAAATTTTGTTAAAAGATGGCGCTGTCTATATATAAGATTATATATTTAATGACGATAAGTCACTAGTATGAAGTATCTATACAGAAAATATGAGGGTCATTTCGAAGAATTGCGAGCTTAGAAGTTATGGGGCAACCACGCGTCACTTCCTCTTCTTTTGTGTGGGCACAAAATTCCCATAGGCATATTGAGTACTAGAAATATATTGTGGCTTTGTTTATGTGATTTTTGGTTCTCGACGTTTCGAACGCTTTACATAATTCGAATCCCATGGTCACGGGAAACACTAAAGTTTTAGACTTCTCAAAGCTCATTATGTGCTTGAGAACCAAAAACTTTTTAACAAAAAAATAAAAACCGACTTCAAACAAAAGCACTAAAAAGTAAAAAATAACTGATTGGTAGTTTTCATTTACTATACATATCTAATCAAATATTTTCGAAGTCAGTGTGTGAGTTGAAACAAATCAAACGAGCCCAAACTCTATGGTGTCACTAGTAGCCATTGCAGAGTTTCACCATCATCAGATCAGCTCCTACCTCCAGCATCTGATCACCTCCACAATGTCAACAATGTTTGTACTCCAGTTTTGGGTTTATTCATTTAAAGTTATATAATATCTGTAGTGTATCAACTATCTGGTATCCATAACACAGGCCTCGTAGCTTACCATGGAACTAGATGGTGCTGTGTATTAATTAATGTAATATCATATTTATATTTTTCCAGAACTAAGATTATTTGAACTCATGACATTGATCGGGGCTTCAGAAAAAGAGGGGTTGCTAATTTTGGATATATCTACAGTATATTTTGTTTGTACGTAACGCGATATTCGCTAAATAGAAACTGATTTTTATAAGTAAACTAACATCGCCCGCGGCTCCGCCCGCGTTTAGATGACGAAAACCCAAATTCTTATGTTTTATATATTAGTATATTCTTACATTGCAGTTTTTGTATTTTTTCTAAGAAATGAGACACTTTCCCGAGGTAAAAAGTATTCGGCTGAACCGGATAACCAGCTAT